GAGATGATATCTCATAGCTGTTTTGATTTGCATCTCTCTTAGAGCTAGGAACTTTGAACATTTCTTCATGTTCTTGTTGGCCATCTGAATGTCTTCTTCGATATGAACAGAATAAAGTATTTCTTAAAGTTCAAATTCGTTTTTCTACGAAGATGGCGCCGAAAGCCAAGAAGGAAGCCCCTGTCCCTCCCAAAACTGAAGCCAAAGCAAAGGCATTAAAGGCCAAGAAGGCAGTCCTGAAGGGTATCCACAGCCAAAAAAAAAGAAGATCCGCACGTCACCCACCTTCCGGTGGCCTAAGACACTGAGACTCTGATGGCAGCCCAAATACTCCCCGGAAGAGCACCCCCAGGAGAAACAAGCTTGACCACCATGCCATCATCAAATTTCCCCTGACCACTGAGTCAGCTATGAAGAAGATAGACAATAACAACACACTTGTGTTCACTGTGGATGTCAAGGCCAATAAGCACCAAATTAAACAAGCTGCAAAGAAGCTCTATGACATTGATGTGGCTAAGGTCAACACTTTGATTAGGCCTGATGGAGAGAAGAAGGCCTATGTTCGACTTGCTCCTGATTATGATGTTTTGGATGTTCCCAACAAAATTGGGATCATCTAACCTGAGTCCAGCGGGCTAATTCTAAATATAAATTTTTCTCACCAAAAAAAAAAAAGTTCAAATTCAATTTTAAATTTTATAATTGCATTTAAATGTAAAATTTCAGACATGTGCTTGTAACATTGTTTATATTTGTACGACAATCAGAAACTGTAGAGCTGCAAGTATGAATTTGAAAAGCACACTATTTAATGATACGATTTTTTAAATTAAACCTCAATTTCTGCAAAACTGCAATGCATCATTATCTGAGTCATTAAAATCACTAAAGTATATGAATATGATAAAATTAACAAAAGTACATGACAGACATTTTAAAACACATAAAGGGATAAAATCAGTGACATTATATTGCTAAACCTATTTTTATATTTTCTGATGCAGCTAAGTATCTCCTCCTTCATGTCACATGTAATACAGTACTATTACTACTGCAGTACCTATTACAATTCACTTCTGACTTACTACTGTGCTCTACAGGGGCAGGATCTATTTCTAGGTATCTGTCAATACCAACATGAAGCTCAGAGACAGGTACATAATATAAATAGAATGCTAATAACTGAATAGGGAACTTTAGTGGCTATTTCGGATTCTCTCTGTATCATTCAAATGACAAGAAACACTCCTCTTACTTCTTTCCCTTGAGTAATTAACATTTTATTGCTTTTAGAGCTCATCTATCCCTTCAAGCATTCACTGATCTACAGCTGGTACACCAGTCCTGAGACCTTAAAAAACCACTGTAAACCTAAGCCAACAAAAAGATGAGTGGAGATTTGCTGCCTGCAAAATATAACTCATATTGACCTTCTGCAATAAGTTCTCAAGTCTTCCTCATTTTCTACAAGCAAGGTTGTTTCTTCTGCATAATATAGGTTGAGCCTTCCTCCAATCCTGATGCTACATTCTTTTTCATATAATCATGCTTCTCAAATGATCTGCTCAGCATAAAAACTGAGTAAGTATGGGGAAAGGATACAACCCTGACCTACACCTTTTCTGAATTTAAACCATGTAGTTAGTGTTCCCTTGTTCTGTTTGGATAACTGTTTTCCTAGTCTGTCTGTAGGTTTCACATGAGCATAATTAAGAGTTTTGGGATTCCTATTCTTCTCAATGTTAACCATAATTTACTATGGATGTTAAAATTGAGACATAAGTTTTAAATTAAGGCCTTAGGTATTCTCTAATCAAAGAATATATTCCTATCAAATTTGTTTTACTTGTCAGGCTTACATTTTTGAAACATTAAGTTGTTACTAAGCGCTTAAAAGCATTGCATTTTATAAACTACTATTTAGTT